TGCAGAAAAGAAGGACCAATGTTGTAGATATTTGTTTACTTCCAGAAAAACTCTGGGAATTAGCATCTACAGACATCATGCAATGTTCATTTTAACATTTCTACCTACTTTTTGTATTATACACACTACAAACAATAATAGGGAGTCATTTTACCTCATTCCAACAAATATATTGAGTGAAAAATACATAAAATGGAGAATGAGTTCAAATTTACATTTTAGAGGAGGATATAAAATTTTCTAGCCCAGAGACTTTATGAAACTCATAACAATAGCAGGGAGATCCAGTGTTCAAAATATCTCTTCCTCAAGTTGTGAATTGCTTTCAGTAGGTTGCAGTCATTCAGAATTTCCCACTTTGTTACATCCCATTTTTGGCACTTGTCACAGTCAATTCCCTGCCTTATCCTGAGTTTTCAATTGTTCATCCCCAGACTTGGTATATACAATCTACACCTCCTTAGCTATATTTTATACACTAGAGCTTAGTTCTCAAAATGTTTGATTCTTGTGTTATAGCACCAACTTTGTCCAAAAAATGATCAGACAATCTTTTTGCCCAGTTAGTGTAGACTACAATTCTGATTATTCCCATATTTTATTGCTTTTTCATTTAGTATAGCTAAATCTTCTATGTTTGGAAATGCACACTGGACCCAGACAACAGCACATCAACATTGTCACCAACAGTTACTCTGATTTTTCATAAAGCATAGCCATATCTTCTATATTTGGAGATGTGCGGATTCTGAAAACAGCACCTGGCATTGTCACCAGTAATGACTATTTTTATCTATACTTTATTACTATTTTTTTACTTAAAAATGCCCATTTCTATATTTGGAAGTCTTCCCTAGACCCTGAAAGCAGTCACATACTCATCAGTTATGTTACTTATTATTTGGATCAATCCTGGGACTAGTCCTGTCTGGAAATCATTTTCTGGAGGCTCTACAAGCATAACTGCTCAGTATTTTTAACTAATTCTTTGATAGGCTCATTCAGGTTGACCAGAGGTATGTTCTGGCTACCTCTCCAGTTAGTGCATATTTTTTTTTTCAGATGCCAAAAATGGCCTCCAGAATAAAAACCTTCTCAAGGCTCCAGCTTTCACTGAAATTAGTCCATACTAAGGGAAGTGTAACACAACTACATAATGTAAAAGAATACACAAATACATTTGAGGTGCAATAGATTCTTAGAAAGAACCAGAAAAATGAACCAACCTTCATTCTTTTTGCACTCAACTGTACATGAAGACCAAATATGAAATGGAAACTCATCAAATGTTTCATAGTAATCACTGAGTTTGTGATGGGCATCTGTGAGTTCTTTCATCAGATGTGGTGATGTGGAGTAGGGAAGGGATCAGTGAGAAGACTGTGACATGCAGGAGTGAGGAAAGTGCAATCGGACATGCTGACAAGATGCATGAACACCTAAACAACACACACACACTAACACCTTAAACACTTATCACCACAGGTACATGCTCAGTGCTTTGGTTTTGGGTTCATACAGTAAATGGAATTACCACACTTGTTTTGTTAGAACTTAAAGTAGAAGTTCAGGGAAACAATTCTGTATATTTTTTAACACTTGTCTAAGTCTAATAGACCTTTTGGAACAAATGATATTGTTTTTATGTGCAGGCACAAGTATAGAATTCAAAACTTAATAGTCTTCGAAGGGAAACAGCTTTTATTGGGGCTATCTTGGTGTTCTGGGATTGCATTCTAACTATATGTAAAGAAATGACAAGGTAAATGTGCTTTATAGACTTTTGTAACTCCCTTGAGCTTTTTTTATGCCTCTGATTCAATCCAAACTAGTCTTAAAGACTCTTCAAGCACTAGTGCTTGGAAGTTAGGTTAATTAACTGGAAAATAACCGAGACCAGACCGGACCGCGGTTAGTGGTTAGTCAATTCTGGAAATGAAATAACCGGTTATTTTGCGGTTAACTAACCGTTAAAAAACCGGTTATGACCGGTTACAACCGACCCTATTATACCCCTTCAAAACGCATCTAAAAGCATGAGAAACACTAAAAATCTGACAGAGTTATGGTCAAATCTCTAAATTATTGGCTAAAATAGTAGGCTTTCAAGAATATTATTATAAATTTGTCAATTCTTCACCGAATTTAGCGTTCTTGGGCTTGTTTTAAAGCTACGACGCATGGCAATAATGTTTACTGCAAGGAATATGAGAAATATACGCCGTTTTAATCGATTTTCTATTTTTTCGGTCCTAACCAGTTAGTAACTGCAACTAACCGGTTTTCATCGGTTATCTTCGGTCCAGTTAGGTTATTTTGGGTCTGGGAACGAACCCTAACCAGTCTCGGTCTCGGTTAGAGCCCCTGGGCACCCAATAACCTAACCTAACCGGACTTTCAAACACTATCAAGCACACTCACTTGGATTCCTTGGAAGTAGTAGAGAGCTCTCTTACTAACTGACAAGACAACCTTGCAAAAAGCTTAGTGATCCCCACTTAACACACTGGTTCTGGGCACACTTTACTTATGTCTGTGAAGAAAAGTCCTTTTAATTGATTAAAAACTTATCCACTACCTCAGATGGTAGTGTGTGGTCAACATGGGGGATAATTCCTTACATTTTAGCCTGTGCACATCCTCCTTTTATATTATTCTAAGATTTCTATTTTTAATTACATGTCTGTGCACAGCCCAATAGGTCAGGTCGATTTTATAATAGTTTTTAGTAAAGGTTTGAAGTAGCTCAGTTATGTGTGGCATAACTGAGCTGACTTCTTTTAAGTTTCATAGTGTTTTCTCTATTGTGGAAATGTGATGCATCAGTATTGATGCATACATGGAAATTGCTGTAAACAGTTTTCATGATTGGTTCACCCAAGGTAAACAGTCCACTTACTGATTTTCTTTCTATTATTAGATACTGCACATGGGTTTCGGACCACACAGCAAATTGTTATAGTTTTTCTCTTGGATCAACTCTGGAATATTTCACAAAGTCAAGTTTTCTTGGGTCAGTGATGCCATGATTTGTGATGTGTTGATGCACATGATGCATTGCAGCACATGACTTCTCAGATCATGCTTTGTAGCATGTTACCGAATGACTTCTTGTGTCAGGTACGCGTTGAGTTTCTACACTCGCACGTTTATCTTAGAATTAATATCTTTTAATCCATAGTAAGATGAGACCCTAGTTTGGTGTAAACTCCAACACCCTGTGATGAGGTGTCTTTACTCTAGAACACTCTGTAGTGTACTATTTCATGGTAGTGTAGCCTCTTATTAGACTTCAAGTATATTGAAGTGACCTGATCACGAACTGACCGCAATTCCTACTGTCTGAGGCATGCACATTTCTTGGATGTAGACTTTAATCAACTAGACCAGGCTGTGTCTAACAATCCTTGTGATCAAAGTGATTGTATTTTACTATAGAAGGTTTTGTAGGAGAAATTGCTAAAAATTCATATTTTTATAGGTGTATTGTTACACTCCATATCATTGGATTATATCTTGGAGGTCTTCTTCCAGCCAACAAAAAATAGCATGTATCAACAACAGCATGGGTGTCTGGGTAGCAGACATCTGTGTAGTAGCTGTCCAGAAAGACTTGAGCCAGGCAGTGACCAGATTGATTGAGTCCCAGTCTTCATTGGAAAGTAAATACAGCCATAGGTCACTATGAAGATGGACAAAAGAGTCAATAGCTTTGCGATAATAAAGGGCATGTCCTGAAAGTTAATGATCAGTTTGAATATTTTAATTCAATTTAAAGAAGACATACACAACATTTGATGAGTCAACAACCATCAGGTCTTAACATCAAGGATGAGCATCAATGCAGACTTTTTCTCAGTCAGAAAGAGCTGCACATTCATCCTGTCAACTTCTTGATACCAATGTTGGTGACACTGAGGGCTTGCATGAACAGAGCATACAATTTTACAAAGCTGAGTGAGATTGCAGATTATCATCAGCAGAAGGCATTACACAATAGGCACTCTTACCTTGTAAACAGCCAACTGGATATCATTTGACAGGCTCTCATTGACAACATCACTATCTTCCCCTTCCATCTCCTGGGCTATATCCATGTCATAATCACACTCAACCTCCACATTTACCTCATCTTGATAGTTGGTGGCTTGAGCCTGAGCACTGTTGTCTTTTGATATGATTCCAATACCCTCAAGCAGCTATTTATATTTGGAGCCATTAATGCCAATGTATAAACCAAAGAAATTCACACTTGAACAGACCTTGATTGCCACAATATGAATTGTATGGGGCATACAGTGCATGCAGGACTTCTGAGCAGACAATTTGATGCCAGCAGCACAGCACCATGATTCAATTGCCTCCATTATGGTGTCATTGTTGCTTGCATTATCCATCATGATTGCCATAATCTGAGAAATGTTAGCATGTGAAAATAATGTTAGAATGGCAATTAACATACCCTATTCTCAATCCCATAAAGTTCCAATGTTGACCATAGAATGGCTGCCATGTTTTTGCTGGAGTGTGCTCCCATGAGCTCACAGAAATCAATCAGAAGCTCCTCTACTCTACATGGAAAATAAAAGTAAACATCGAAGGTAACTCACCATATTGTCCATTGTTTTTCACATAATGAGCAATATTTGCAGTACTTTACCCTCCCCCATGAGTTCCAGCAGACTCCCATAGAATGTCGGAATTCCATCTGGAGTCCGCCGGAATGGTAGGAATCTCAAATTCCAGTGGATTCTGCTGGATTCTGAATGGAATTCCAATGGATTCTGCCGGATTCTGAATGGAATTCCAATGG